AAAGGAAACAATTTTGGAAATCGGGGTATCAAGGCAGACTGAATTACCTGTGACAATTTTTCCATGAAAAATTCAATCTCAAGTTGTGGCCACTGAGTTAGAAAACAAAATGTCTGAAAAAAGTTATTTTCCAAATATACAGTTGTCAGAATGCTAGCAGAAAAGTTCCATATCGGCACTGGATTAAGGTTTGATTAACAAAATATGAAACATTGATTTACACCATGTAAAATATACCAAATAAGAAAAAACATGTTGTTTTTGACTATATTTAAATGCATATAAATACAACTTAAAAACTACATTAACACCTATTGATAAAAATGTGTTCCAGTTTCTGTATTTAAGTCCTCAGGCCATGAACTGGCCTGAGGACATATTAACATTTCAAGGGCGTCTTCCCATTCTTGAACTCACAAGCCCGGTCCCATTCTTCCGAGAGCCTGAATCACGCACCAAACCCTTTTAAATAACATATTTACCTTAAAAGAATTATTAGAAAGCATCCGTCATAATAAAATTACATGAGTAATGATGACTCAGATAATCTTAAAGAGCTACGTCTTGCTTAATCATGAATTCTCTAAACAAAAATGATGGACACAAACAGAGCATATACTTCCTTGCTAAAGATTAATTCTCAAATTATAGGTTGTAAGCATTCAAGAAAATTCAAGTGTTTTCTAGGACTGGACAGAAAACAGAGTATACTAAAATGGTAAACACTCAAAATTGGGGCAACATGATTACTAATGTAACACATGGATCTTGTTTCCCTTTGTTTGCAGACTTTTTGTTTTTTCTTATGTTTCCAAATAAGAACAGAAACAGCCAAGCAGAAGTGTCAACTCTAGAACAAGAAAACTTGTGATCACACTGCCAGATACTGGTCAGCCAACCACATGGAACTGGTGTGCTCAAATCTCAAGGGTTCTGGCAGGGCTCACTGCAGGCAAAAGCTTATACTGAATGATCCGCTCAGAAAACCGGAGGGTCCCTACAAGGTCTGGAACCAACCTATTTGTCTTAACACGCACAGAATTACATCCCAACTCAGGCAGTGTGTTGTGCTGAAGATGACTGACTTTTGGGTATCTTTATTTCATAGTTATTTTATGGAGAAAAAGAAGACATTATGTATGAATATTTGGGTGTAAACCATCTCACTATTCATGTTATTAATTATATGGGGTGGCATAGGAGTCAGATGATTGACTCCAAACTCATCAAAATGTTGTGTCAGATTCATTTCAGCTGTATTTGGAAACTTCCTCTTCCTAACACAAAAACTCAGATGGCATTCAGGGTCATTAGTCAAGAGAAGCACCAAATAAGATTAGCAGTGCTGTACCATGAATACAGCTTATTTCTCATGGATGCTTAGCCAAAGTAGGAGCTGCATCCTAGACATTTAGCCATGCTAGACTGGGCAAAGAATTGAGCCAGTGTCTTCAATGTTTTTTTGCCTAATTAAACTTCAAGTAATGGTCCCAGTTCCATCAGTAGGGCTGTTAACTGCCCTATGGTTCACTACATTCAATGATCAAACAGATTTTATTTAGCCAGGAGTGCTCACAGGCACACTGGAGGCTTGGCATAATTTGGGAAAGACCTATGATCAAAAAGAAAGTTATAATTAATGTGTTGTGCATCTGCTGCAAAAATAATTTTTGGTTAGTGGTGTGTGTAAGACATTAGTATGCTTTGAGAGTGTGGATCATTCACTACACAGTAATTGTTATTACGTCCGGAGTAAAATTTAATACCTAAGCCAACTAGCTACAAAAGTACTGGCACCCTGGATCTGAAACAATGTGGTGGCATTCATAAGATTTTATTTTAATACATGGTTTGTTTATTTATCTTATAGAATGTAAAAGCTAAGACATTCCAGTGAACAAATACTGTAATCCCTATATTTACTTAATTGTTTTCTTGCCTGAGCAAAGAACTGTCTTTAAAAAAATCACAATATAAATATTAATATCCAAATGCATTGGTCCGCTTTTAGAATGATAGCCGTATAACTCGGGAGAGTACTTCTGTAGCCTGATAAATCAGCATACACTACTTCCATACAATTAGATGGTATTCTCAGAACACAGGTGCATTCTCCTATTAGAATCTTTGACAGAGCAATACAGAGTTTTGAAGGTTCTTACCACTCTGATTTCCTTATTACTAATTTCTTCACACCCCTGAAAACCAAGAATCTCCTTTTTAAAAGTGCTGCCGACAGCCAGGAAATAAAAGTTATCTCACCACAATGACAGCAACGATGCTGTCCTTACAGACAGGAACAGAGCAAAACAGAAAAGTGAACAACTGCTGCATGGTAACCCATTCAAGGGCGGAAACATCAATTGCCGTCATACTTAAAGAGGACACTGCGAGTAGAAGGCTATATTATAAAACAGGAAATGTTATCTCTATGAGGGATGTAAAGATAAGCTCATGAAAAAGGCTACACATCAGAGGAGGCCATTCAGCTTATCTGGGAATTATAGTGATTCAAAATGTAACCTCCCTTTGCTTCTGAACAGTAGCGCTCATCTGCAGTGTATACCTTCTTCAGTAAATTCAGTTATTTCGGTTGCTGTCACACTGACAATTATGACACATCATGACAAAACAGGGGCTAAAAAATAAGTGCATTGTGTTTTTTTTATCTGGAACGTACCAATTGGCACAACAAAGCTATAGACATACTTACCATCAATACATAAATCTTACATTTGAAAAAGAGATGAGTCAAAATTTTAATTTACACTTCTATAAAACAATCACAGCATAACAAATACAGTTAACCTAATTAAAAGTTGCCCTTGATCATGTTTATCCACAGTAAAATATACTGAATGATAACAAAACCTTTTTGTCCATCAATGGATTACTTAATATGCTGTAACCAACACTGAAGGAAATGATTATGCAGCAACAGAAAACTTTAAATTAATTTCTTGGAAGGCTCCCCAGGATAGCTACAATCGGTTGTTTTTACTATTAATATTTCAACAAGAAAACAACCAAGAGCTCCAGCCTACAAGCCCACAATGTAAAAGCAGGAGTAGATCCACTTACTGCTTCCACTACAGTTTAGTCATAAGAAGCACAATAATGGCCTGAGATGAACCAGCTGCTTCTGCCTAACCATGAGGAACCAGTTTAATTACGTCATGTTTTTACTTTATCCCAGATGAGACAGAACAGTTCAGACGTGCACTGCTTCTTAGTCATATACAGTACCATGTAGTTTTATCAGTTTTAGAGACCAAGATGAGCTTTAGTAAGAAAATACTGGGTAAAAGAAATATAAGAAAGATACTTTAAAATATTCATATTTGTAACATAGACAGAGTGAGATGAATCTCAAGTTATGGGGATTATGTTTTAGAGGACTACAACATCAAACATTTTCTTTAAGAAAAATCACTGCACCATGATATCACCAGATCACGTTATTACAAGCAAGAAAGCACTGGAGCAGTGGTGAAAATTTGTATTGACCTCTGAGTTTCATTTTGAGAGTGACTAATATTTAAGGCTTAGGTTACTTCCCAAAACATGTCAAACGTAATGGAAAAATGCTTTAACATCCACAAGGTTTGAAACCTACAACTGTGTCAGTGATCTTGAACTCATTTCCTGAAAGGCAGAATGTCTTCAAGGATTTGATTCAAGTGGTCAAATAATTACCTTAAACATTTCGATTCTTATTCCTAGTCATACAGGCCTATAGGATTTTTCGGGATATCCTTCACAGTTCACTTTAATGATGTGTTATTTTAATGAAATAACACTTCATTAAAGACACCTATAAAATCTCGGTTAAGAGCTCGGTTAGAAGTATGGCAATTAAACAGTTAATTACTTAGTTCTGGTGTACTTGTTTTAAACTTTTAAATGATTTTGTCACAAACAATCTTGGATCACATGTGTCTCAAAAGGGGGGATGTTTACACTGCACATATACACAAAAGAGAAAAACAAGTGAGAAAACCATAAAAGTCTAAACACTCTTTGAAATAGATCTTTGAAAAATATAAAATTTGGAATTATATCACTCGTTACAATATTTCTTTAAAGTATTTAGGGATCAAAACTGTTTACACGTATTGCTCCTCAAATAAAGTAATTTACATGTTTTTTTTTATAAAAACGTTTTATCTGTTTAGTCAACGCTTGACAACAAAAATGCCAGTCAAATATAGTATACTATATTTTAAAGCTCCCATTTGTGCTTCAAGGGCTGAAAACAAAAAAACAACCCTAAAGTTACCATAAATTACGGCCTCGGCAAAGTTTTGAAAAGTAGGTTAGAGTGATGAATTTTGTTTAAATCGAGGTTTCAAAGGAACAACCAGATGTTAATTTCGCGGTTTAAAAGTAAAAAAAAGAAAAAACACAGGATGCTCACACACCAGAAGATGGCTACAAGAATTTCCGTGTTTTTCTTTCTCCTTTTCGGGGATTTCAAACATCAGAGAATTTGAATTGATTTTTGTCATTAAACAAGAATACAAGTTACTGTACGTACTCTTTGAATACAACTAGTGTATGTTAATGATTACAGATCTCGGATTCTGACAGTTCAAGCCCAACACAGTTTGACCTGTCTTCAACGGGCTAGAAAATAAAGCGTGAAAACCAAGCCTGCCGCGATTATTATAAAGTCTCACAAAAATACACTCTCTTGACTTCCCTTAGTGTAAAAACAAAGATATGTACACGTCTGATCATCTAGCATTTCTTAAACATGGAAACGTAGCGGGTTTACTCCTGAATTCATAAAACAAGCTTTAGAACTGCAACCCCACTTCGGACGGGATGGGACGATGCCTTTATAACCCGCAGGATTCTCTAGATGAGAAACATTGTTATTCTTACCAACAAAAACTATGGCGATACAAAATATTCCTTGCAGATGTGCAGTTACTCTGTAACAGTGTAATTAATAGGTATATACATGTACCCAACGAGTAGCTGATGCAGAAACTCACCTCCGTGGATGGCCGCGGGTGCAATTACTACCCCTTTGGCTTCGGCTTTGCGGGAATTCTGTCCGTACCTGCCGTCGTCCTTCGTCAGTATATGCTTAGGGTTCCCTTTGGAGTCCAGGACGGAAACGTTCACGGTAGCGCTGTAATAGTCGTCCTTGCTCGCCATGCTCTTATTAGCCCGGATAGACAACATGCACCTGGGCAACACTAGCATCAACATTACGGCGGAAAGGCTGTGGTACGGCGTTCCTGCAGACCACTTTTTCGGCATCTTTGGGTTGTCTGGCTGTATTTTCCAATTATTTAGGCATAAAGCATTATATTTCTTTCGAAAGCAGCGAAGGATTAAGGAAAGACTTATCGTGTGTCTCCGGTGAGGGTCCAGTCATAGACACGCTATACAGTATGTTCTTCTTTACATCATTTTCGTATTCCAAAGCATGCGTCACCTACACTGCTTTTGGACGGACAAAATAAGAAAAACGAATATTAAACGAACTAGCTTCAAGCTAAAAACAGCTTGACAATTAAAAAACTGTACATGGCACGTATTTACAAGTGTTTTCGGTTAATGTTAAATTATTTTAGTGCGCATGTGGAACAGTTATTAAATATTAATACTGACAGCATATCATTACACGGTTGGCACGTTGGCCATTTTAAAATAATTAACGATTACAAATTGGAAATGTTACCATAAAATGTTAACTAAATCGGAAATATTTTCGAAAAAATGCGTAATGTTAACCATATGAATAGTACTCTACTATACGGAAATTAATGTATTAGCTTCCTGATTTTTTTTTCAAATCCAAACTAACTAAATCGAAATGTAAAATACTGCAATTATAACAAATACAAAAAATATTTGTAAATGTTTAAGGAATTAACATACTGTAACTGTCTCTATTGCATTACGTTACATAGATTGTAATTATGCCTGCCAGTAAACAATTTCTATCGACTCAGTAAGTCTATTAAAACATATCATGCAACCCACCTTATTTATTTAATTGATACCGAATAATTCTATCCCCAAACTTTATCCTGCACTGGGTATTTCGTTTCACACAAAGCAATATTTTTCTCCGTTTTCAAGAATAGAGAAATACTGCGAATCCACTCCTGTCTTTTCCTCCTGCTCACAGCACAGCGCCTTGCGCAAGCGCGACGAGGAGAGGCAGGGCTCAAACTTACAGAAAAGGGGGCGGTGTGGCGTGCCCTGCCACGCAAAATAATCAATACAACCACGGCTGAAAAGAAGTGATGGCGTAGACAGTGGAAATTCATTTTCCTCCTGTTGACGATACAAGCAAATCCAATTCTCAAAGTGGCACGATAGTATGACAGACAAGAAAGGGATATGATGAATGCCAGAGATGGTGCCTTAAAAAGAAATAAAAAATAACCCCGTTATGAAAAGCAGACGCAGTAGCACAATCGCTCCGAACCAAAATGCTTCTTTCCATAAATACAACTGCGGACAGAAATGGAGTGAATCGATTGTGTGACACTTCAAAGCATTTCTATGCATATAATAAAAGGGTCCCCAGTATTACACAGGAAAGTGGTCATACTTGTGGAAGTTCTTGACTTAGTTGTGAGTTGCTGAAACTAAAAAGGAACATTTTTAGTTTATCTGTTACGAAAAAATTTTTATAAGGTTTCTTAAGAAGGGTTAGATTGAATACTAAAGCTTATATGTAACCAAGTAAGAACGCTACAATGGCTTCCACAACCAGATTGTTTCCCAGCGAAAATAAATTTGGAATGTGAAGCATGTTTTGTAAGTTATACTATATATGTGAATGGCCTGAAGGCAGGGCAGTTTGTGGGGCTGCCTCACAGCTCTTGGGTCCTGGGTTCCATTCCAGCCTGGGGTGTCTACTGTGTAGGGTCTGCATGTTTTTCTCCTGCCTGTGTGTGTTTTTTCCTGTAGGTACTAGGCTTTCCTCTCACCTCCCCAAAACATGCTGTGTTTAGATTAATTTGTGTTTCTCATCTGTGGATGTCCTACAATGTACTGAAATCCCCTCCAGGGTGTAGTTCTGCCTTTTGCCCTATATTCCTGGGATAGACTCTAGGTTGCCACAGCTCTTTGCAAAGATAGTGACTTTCTAACAAAGGAACAGATACAGAAGAGTGAAAGAGAGGAAAGTGACATAACATTATGTTTGTATCAGGATTAATTTATTGACAAACCATACAATCCACTGGCAAATTTGCGTGAGGTTGATATGTAGTGGTACCTGGTCAGGGTTGGTAATTCTGGACAGCAGGCCGAAAACCCATAATTTTAATGTTTAGGAGGCAACCCTAGAAATTGTGGATGGTTTCACAGTGAAGGGTCAAGGGGTTGGCCTTCACCAATCCCTGTGATCAGTGACAGTCCAGAGCACAGCAGAGCTGTGCAGTGTACAGTATTTTCTGTGGGACTTATCTATGTATCCATAAAATATAAAAATGGTTGCATTTAGCAGTTCTTAAACTGGATCATCTTCCTTGCAACAAGGATGATGCAACATCTTGCAACATCTTTCTTGTTTGTTTTTAGGGTAGCTTTAAATAAATGGGCAATTACTCGACATGTGAAAGCATTTTACTTCTTCACAACTAAGAACATAAGAACACATAAAGTTATATGTAAGTTATATGTAAGAGGAGGCCATCCATACCAGCTATCTTAATTAATTCCACCTAAATATTAGCATGTGCTTGCTAGTAACAAATTCATCCAAGGATACATGAATCTAATCCAGCCATTTCTCATAAAGAAGCCATGATAACAGCTTAAACAACATGGCCTGGTAGCTTGTTCTGTGTAAAAATCCACCTCATGTTCTCATTAATAAAGGTACATCCGTGTAGTTTCTACTGTGTCCTCTGATTCATGTTTCACTATTGATTCTGAAGACGTCCTTTGGCTTGACTACTCTAATCAGCTCCTGTCGTAGTCTTTGGTTTTTAAGACTAAAAATATTTAGTTCTTTTTGCCTGCTGGTGTTTTCTTTAAGCCACAGAATGTACTTAATCACTCTTCTTTTGTGACAGATTGATCCAACAATGTCATTCAGAGCTCTGCTAGAATGTAAACCAGCAGACAGAATGACTTCCAAGGACAAGGGCTGGACACATAGCTGTTTAAAACCACAATACATATTACATATTTGACTGCAACCTTATGCTTTTATAGTAATCGAACAAGCAACCAAGAATATGGACAAAATTAGAGTCACAGTGCAGCCAAAAAACAGATTAAGCCAAGAGCTCACAATTCTTGTCAGTCTCTTAGAAACACGTTCATATATAAACATATTTTACTGTTTCCCGTGTCTTAATACCTCGTCATTAACATTATTCATTAATGGAACTGAACAGAGGAGAATGACTTTTTTTTTAAAAAAAGCTTTAACTACACTCGCAAAAACAGTTGTGCAGTCTTTTCATTTCTACACTTAGGCCACCTGCAGGAGATTATTTGTCTACAGGAGGTTTTTCTTCACAATACACAGTATCACTCTACTAATCTGCTTGGATACCCTCACCACCACCCTGCACCCCAGACATTGACATCAAGCCAATGTTGGCAGGTCTCAACATTACCAAGGTCTTTCAGTTTGCACAGACACAGAGATGGTTTAGAAAATCCAAGCGCCTGAGCTGAAAGCAGAACAGCTATAGATTTGCAGGTCCAGCTCTGCCAAAAGGGAGATGAAGTGAATGCTTGCAGCATGCCAAGTGCTTCAGCTGTTATTCAATGAGTGGGATTATTGGGAAAAGGACAGGGAAGAAGATAAAGTTAAATTGGTTCCACAGAAACACGCACTGACAGCTAAAGGGAAGAATCAGCTTACAGATGCCCAGAAGTTTTGCCAGGCGTAGAGGCCACCTAATATATATTTATATAAATATATATTGTAAGCCTCTGATCTGTCTATCACTCTAAAGGACCCATAAGGTGATGACAGGAAAGAAAACCTGTAGCAATCATGCAGAACTTTCAGACTCTGAGATGGTAAATATTTTGTTAACAAGAAAACACTGAATGAGGAATATAATTAGGCTAAACATGAAAGTGGGTTCTTGCACAAGCCAAAATCAGTAACAGAAGTGCTTTTTGTTAATTTAGACTAGAGGTTCAAATCTTCAATTCGAGACCTCTGTGGTACCTAATCCTCTCCATTAAAGAATGGCATCATTTTAACACGTTCTGTACATTACTTTACCAATTGTTCACATTGAACCCCATCTTATAAGTTCCATCTTTTAAGACAAAAGTCTCACTTAATGGTAAGTAATCTTTTCTGTTGTTATATTGACTCTGCTGATAGTACTTTAAGACAGATATCAACAGACCAATCATGGTCACAGTGGCAGTTATCTAATCTTGAGAGACCTTCACTGTCTGCTTCTGTATAAAGACTTTTCTCCTCGTAGTTAATTAGAGAATTGATATAAAAAGTTAAAATGTATATGTTAATAACGAAGAGACGGAATAATTTATTTCGGTGGTCAAGGGAGACACCTACCGGTCAAATTCTGTATTACACCCCCCCGAGTTTTGAAGGCTCGGTTCCAAGACTGTCTCTAACCACGTACTTTAATAGTGAGCGAAATTCCAGTTCGGTGGGAACTAAACGTACATGTGAGCTGCATGTGAACATGTGAACTGCAGGCTGCAGCTATGAGGCAGATTTTAGTGTGATGCAGCACAGTGTCACTGAAGTGGTTAGCTCTTTTGCCTGGGATCCTGGGTTCAATTCCGAATCTGGGGTGCTATCTGCTTGGAGTTTGTATGTTCTCCTCATGTCTGTGTGGGTTTTTACCTGCGGCCCAAAAACATACTGGAAGGTTAATTGGCTTTTGGAGGAACTGACCATGGTGTGAGTGCATGCATGACCCTGTGATGGGACAGGTGTCCCGTCATGGGTGTATCCTGTCTTCTGCCCATTGCTTGCTGGGATAGCTTGCGGCTCCCCCGTCACCCTGTACTGGATATAGCAGTTAGTAAATGGATGAATGGAATCTCGCCTAGTTTCAAGTAAATTGGTGCAATAGTTTCAGCACATTTGTGGTTTGAATGTTGACTGGAAGCTGATTGCCATAAAGTAGTAGATGTTTAGGTAAGAGGCTACATTTCATTAAGCAGTTGATGACTTCCTCTGGGCAGGAAGACTATGGGTGAGAAAGCAGCTTTAGTTGTTCGTGAAATCTGGCAAATTTCAATTCAGATGGTGACGCAGCTGCCAAGACAGAGACAGCTCCAGATGTGAGAAGAAAATGGTAACCATGTGGCTGTCTTGGTATACGCAGGACCCGAGTAGCAGATGTTAATGATATGCTCACTAGAAAGATAAGATTGAAAGAATACAGGAATTTTAGAAGCAAGAGGAATACTTTCATATGAAAAATAACCAGTGATCCTTGACTTCAGTATTCCCAAAATCAAAATGCAGAATGTAAAGAAAAAAGAAATTCTGTACTTGCACATAAGATGATCAAATTGTTGAATCTTAAAAATGATGAGGCACACCTGCTTCACAACATGGATTTCCATGCACAGTTTGGAATTCAAAAATACAATATTAGAAAAGGCATTTCCAATAAAATTAAGTACCTGACAGCAACATTATCACTTACTGGACTGTGGCTAAGGATCTGTGCCTGTGATTGGAAGGTTGCCAGTTCATATCCCACGGCCGGCAGAGGAATCCTACTCTGTTGGTCCACTGAGCAAGGCCCTTCACCCCAACTGTTCCAGGGGTACTGTATAAATGGCTGACCCTGCACTCTGAGCTTACCCCAAGCTTCTCTCCCTGTCTGTGTGTCTCATGGAGAGCAAGCTGGGGTATGCGAAAAGACAAATTCCTAATACAAGAAATTGTATATGGCCAATACAGTGATCTTCTTATGAAATAGAAGACCTCAAGGAAAAGCTGTCTGGCTCCTGTATGTTTTGTTTGTGGGCCACTATGTGGCGCTACATATCCTCATTCTATAAATAATTCTCTCTTTTTGAGTGCAGTAGGGATCTTGTGGAAATGTAAGGTGTAAGCAGATGGGTTCTCAGAGCTCCTCTCAATTCTAAATATTGGCTTTTAAATATTTTTTGTTTTGTGTCTTGTGTTTTTATAGTTTGTTTTAAGAATATGTCTCTTTTACGTTATTGCTGTGAAGGAAAAATAAACACTTAATGAACCATATGACTTTATTCTGTATGTCTTATCTGGTAAATATCCTTCTCCTTGTGCTACTAATACCACTCTCTTTATTACAATATCAATGGCTGGGTTATATACAGTATATATAATTGTATTGTACATCCAAAAGGGTTAACATTTGTATTTGGCATCACCATATAAAACTACAAAAGAACAATAGAATAAATAAAATAAACACAAAATATAAACCTAGCTTTTCAACAGTACATATACAAACATCTTGCTCTCTCCATATTACACTACCATTACACTTTTTTAAACCTTTTTTTCATGGCCATGGGCATTCTAAAGTGCCTCCCCGAAGGTATTTAGGATGATTTGGGTATGACGTTTTAAAAAAATAATCTTTCTCATTTTGGGTCCCTGCAGATGTTTTTTAAATTCAACAGCCATCAAAACAGACCATGACATTCTTTCACTTCTCTCAAGCTAAATGAGCTTGAGTGTTTATTGTACATTTAAATAACTGCATTTGACCTCTTATTTTCCTATTTCTATTGGAAACTGTTTGATGTTTGTACTGTAATAATAATA